AGCCCATGGTGTCTTCAGCATCTTTTTGCATGTATTCTGTTCTGCCGTGCAAACAATTGATCTGAATGAATTTATCATTCAACTTTTATCATGGAACAATAATTTGATGGCAGTTCCAATAACAGACTTACAACTGGAGCAACCGTATATTTTCAGCAGGATTTTTGCACGTTATCTTGGAAGGACATCTAATAAATCCTGCAAAATCAAATTGCAGAACGCTTTAGACATAGTTAAAAAGAACTAATAACCAATAGAGAGGAAAAATTGCATTAGTTGTATTACAAAAGCTATGACTCGTTGATGAATGGCATTTAAGCATGCTAACGAACTCTAATTACACGACAATTAAATTATTTTTAACTAAAGAAAGGGAAAGAAATATTTCTAGTCATCAAGGATGAATGAAAATACAAGAATAAGGATGGGAGTAATACTGGGAATTTAAAACCTTACACTTAGTTTTTCATTTCTCAAACCCGAGTTGTACAAAAGTATAACATAATTGAATAAGATTTAAGTACTAAAATATGAGAGAGATATTTAGTTCCACAAATATCGCAAACTGTTGAGTCTTTAAACTAATTGCGCATGTGTATGCAGAGGCCAGAATTGAATTAGGTGACGTGTTGATCTCATAGGTGATGGCTTTGATATATTGCATGAAAAAGTAGTACCTCATGGACATTCAGCATGAATATAAACAAAATCAGAGCTTGATGCCGCCAAAAAAATTCCAACCCAAAATCATAATTGTTGAGAATTTAAGACGTTCCTTCAGACCACAAGGCATTGACCTAATAGTCCATTTTCAAGGGACTATGCATCACTTGTGATAGGAAACTGAGTATCTGACCTGATGGCTCAAATTCAGCTAGTTTTCCCTTTGTGTGATCTATTTGCCTTCAAAACAGCATGATGCTTAGACAATAATTCCGCTAGAGAATGTCGTCCAAATAAATGGGAATTTTTCTCTATCAGATCCCTCATGGTGGAGTCAACAGGAAAGCCTTGACCAGGCATCCACTGTAGTAAATGAAAAAGTAGTTCTTTCTTTTCTGGATGTTCGATGTAACGAGAAATAGCCAAGTGAAATATGCCCTGTAACACCACACAGATTGAAGCAACAGAATTTGAACATATATTAAAACAACTGTTGTATGGTAACGGTGGAAGTTGGAGACAAGTGTTGATTCAATTCCAAAATCCCAATCTCGAAAACTAACATGGTTGAAGTATAATATCACGAAGCTAAAACATATAAACAAAAATGTCATATAATCAAAACCCAAATATCCTATATCTGAATCAAAACTCAAATATTGACCTGATGGCATATGAAGTAAAACGTAAATTAACTTACACGTAGTAAAGGCAGTTATACTGATAATAGTGGTCGGTTAAATGATTACCTGATCAATTTTGTAGCCTGAGTTATGGATAGTCTTGATCACATCATTTACCAGGTTTATATTGCCTTTTTTCATAAAGGAGGTGGCAAACTTCCTAATAGCAGGCTGGGAGATAAATTTTGCATTGTCCTGGAGAATACAGATTGCTCACAAATACAAAGAGGCCAATTAAAACCAACAAAATGGTAGAGGTAGTGGAAATCAAATTTATACCTTGACCACCACATAAGCATCTTTAAAAAGTCCACCTGCAAGTAAGATATGTAAAATCTTCTCATGAAGGGCCTTGCTTATTGTTCTCTTGCTATATCTCAACATAGTGTACACTGAAAATGCTTCTGAATGAGCACCAGTTTTACCAAGACGATTAATCAATGAAGAAGACAAATCCTGCATGATTAAACCATATAAATAGAACTAAGAAGTACGCCAAAAAAAATTGGACTGAAGATACTATGAGGTATAGTAGGAATTTGGACTTTGTTTTAACATGCCCATTTAGACCATAATAATCAATTAGTACAAGAGAAAAGTGAACCTGCATGCACAAATCTGGAATTTTTTACACACCTCATCAGGCTGGTGACCTTTCCTGTGCATGTCCTCCATAGTACGATATGCAAGTAAATACAGTTTCTCCTTGCAAAAATACTTTATTAACATGTGAAAGGTATTCCAATCAGGACTAATGGCTGACTCATCCATTTTCTTCATCATCCTCATTACATTCTCCATTTCTCGAGACCGACAGTAAGCAGAGAGCATCGAGTTCAAAATGACCACATCATACTTGCCGTACTTAGTCTCATACTCACAAGCCAATTGCTTTGCTTCTTCAAGGAGTCCATTACGGCAGAGGGCTGAAATCATAATACTGTAGGAGTAGCCGTCTGCACATATTTTGAGCAAAGAATGTGATAAGCAGGACAAGAAAATACTATAAGAATTACATTAAAAAAAAAAAGCCAAAAAATTGCTTAGTATATAACACTGGAGTCTGTTCAAATGAATTAGGGGAAAATGAAAGCTCTCCTGCAGGCACAGAGTTTTGTGCATTGTGAATACTACTCGATGGTGTTCGTTAACAAAAGAATCAAACTATTGTGACAGGTCTTTCAGGGATGCACCCTACTCCTATCTCTAGTGACACTGGGAAGGTGATAAAGACCAATTTCTGAAAGTTTATTCTAGAAGGCTGAAACGGGCCACGGCTGCTCCTACTGGACCCTAGGGCGTAGGCCCAATTATCCTTATTATTTAGTTAATATAAGTAGTTAATTTCGCGGGCTCTTAAATGGGCTTTAGAATTTAACTATTAAATATTATATTTTATACTGGTGGCTAAGAGTTAGATGGGTATTCGGAATATTGACGTTTGTGGCAGGATATCTTGCCTGAGGACCCTTCGGGGTAGTTCTTTCATTATCTATTGTTATTTTTTGCCCTTCACTCTATCAAATTGGTCCGACCTGCCAATCCTTGTATGCAGACAAGGATGGACACCCGTTTCGAGAGGATGGAACACCGTTTGGAGATGATGGAGAAGGGCCTTGACGAGGTATGTAAAAAATTTTCTACTATCGAGACTATGTTCGCTGCCATCATGAAGGAGAAGGAGAAATCATCCGATTCTAGGGCCTCCCACGAGGCGGACACATCCCAGACCACGAACCATACCACTACGTTGTCTGGGACACCAAAAATTGACCTCCCCTCATTTGATGGATCTGACCCAACTGCTTGGTTAGCCAGGGCTGAGCAATTTTTTTTGGTTCACCACACTCCAGTGGCGGATAAGGTTCCAATTGCGCTCGTCGCCATGTCTGGGATGCATTATATTGGGTTCAAGGTTTAATGCGCCGTTTTCCGACTATCACTTGGCCCCAGTTCATTGAACAACTATTGTTTCGCTTCAGCACTGTGACAACTGTGAATGCATATGAGGCTTTGAAGGTCACGCGGCAAACCAGCTCTGTCGATGACTATATTGCTGAATTTGAAGCTTGTGTTGCTCAGGTAGCTGATTTATCTGACCCTCATTATTTGGGTCAGTTTTTAGGTGGTTTACGCGAGGATATCCGAATCCGTATACGTGATGACCCTTCCATGAATGTGTATGCTGCCATTCGATTGGCTTGTCAAGTGGAACGTGAATTAAATTTCGCAAACTTCCCATCGGGTAAGGGACAACCTCGTTCATCGTACTCTCCCTACTCAAATTCTAGCCGCCCATTACAGGGTCCACAGTTCTCGTCACCTCTGCAGCATAGCTCACAAATTCAACAGCCTCAAGCTCGCTCGACTCCCACCCTGAGTTATGGAGCCAGCCAAAAGGGGTCATCCTGCGTCAACTCACACCTTCCGAGTACCAGTCCCATCGGCAACAAGGTCTATGTTTTCGGTGCAGCCAACCCTATGGCCCGACACACATTTGCCCAGCTCGTTCCCTAAAGGTGATGCTCCCGGGTAGGGAGTTGGACGTTTCACAACCATCAGAGTCAGAGATACCCATTGTCTCTGAATTGGTAGAAGAGGTCCCAGACCCTCTGACAACTGAACCCCCACTTCTCTAAACCTTACAACTTTCACATCTTGCAGCCAAGGGTTTTGATGGTCCCCATACGATGAAGCTGATAAGCCGACTTGAGAATTTCAAGCTCCTGACTATGGTGGATAGTGGCGCGAGTCATTGTTTTATTTGGGAAAGGGTTGTGGATAAATTGGGATTACATGTGGAGCCTTCTCCGACGTATTCTCTGATGCTCGGCAATGGTCAACGCATTTCCGCACAGAGATTGTGCCGCGCCCTTCCTCTTTATTTGCAGGCGGCTACATTTATGGTTGATTGCTGTTGGGAGATGTGAAAGCAAATTGGAAAAACTTGACAATGGAATTAGTTAAAGATGGTCGTACGATTTTTCTGAGAGGGGATCCCTCGTTCACCCGCCAAGCTATTTCTGTGGCTACAGCAATTCGTGAATTTTCAGACGGTGAGCAAACATGGCTTTTATGGTCAATGGATCATTCGGAATCTCCACCACATTGTCCTGTGTCAATCGAGCCTCATTCACCAACTCGGGATGAACTCTCGTCCCTTTTAGCAGAATTTTCGGAAATCTTAACACCATTTTCTGGACTACCTCCTAAGCGACATATTGATCATCATATTAACTTACAACCGGGTACCAAACCCATTTCAGTGAGACCATACCGCTACAATCATTTCCAAAAAGATGAAATGGAACGACTAGTGGCAGATATGTTGGAAGCTGGGTTGATCCGTCCAAGTTGCAGCCCCTACTCTACTCGAGCCCTGTTCTCTTGGTTCGCAAAAAGGACAGTAGTTGGAGGTTTTGTGTGGACTACCGCGAGTTGAACAAGCATACGGTTCCAGATAAATATCCTATCCCTATCATCCAGGAATTATTAGACGAGCTGCATGGGGCAAAGTGGTTTAGCAAGCTCGATCTTCGTGCCGGTTACCATCAGATACGGGTTGCTGAAGCGGACATTTCTAAAACAGCGTTTCATACACATTCAGGTCATTACGAGTTCTTAATAATGCCTTTTGGGTTGACTAATGCTCCCGCCACCTTTCAAGCCATCATGAATGATATTTTCAGGCCTTAACTCCGTCACTTTGTGTTAGTCTGTTTTGACGACATCCTGGTGTATAGCAAGACGTGGCAGGCGCATTTGTGCCATCTCAGACAGGTATTGGACCTCCTTAGGGAACATTCATTTTCAATAAATCCGAAGAAGTGTTTGTTTGGAAGGAAATCTGTCGAGTATCTCGGCCATGTGGTCTCATCTGATGGGGTGCAGATGGACCCAACAAAAATCGTTGCAGTGCTCCAATGGCCGCGTCCTGCTTCTCTTCGTAGCTTGTGTGGTTTTCTTGGCCTCACATGTTACAATCGCCGATTTATTCGTAGTTATGGCAAGATTGCTCTCCTCTTACGTCTCTATTGAAAAAAACGACATCTCGGGAGTGGGTCTAGCCCTTTGAGGCTGAACAGGCTTTCCAAGAACTCAAGCAAGCCCTAACTTCCGCTCCGGTTTTAGCTATGCCTGATTTTTCATTGTCGTTTGTCGTTGAGTATGATGCATCTGGACGAGGGCTTGGTGCGGTTTTGATGCAACAAGGTCGTCCGGTGGCTTATTTTAGCAAGGGTATTTCAGACCGCGCCTTAGCTAAATCCGCTTACGAGAAGGAGTTGATGGCATTGGTGATGGTTGTACAACACTAGCGTCCCTATCTCATGAGGCGACGCTTTCTAATTCGTACTGATCAACGCAGCTTGAAATTACAGCAACAGTTGACTACTCCTGCCCAACAAAATTGGATTGCCAAATTGCTAGGCTTTGATTTCGAAATAATTTATCGCTCTGGAACTTCGAATCAAGCTGCTGACGCCCTATCACGTAGGGATGAGGAGGTGGAATTAACAGCCATTAGTATGCCCACATGGATGGACTGGAGTCAACTAAAACCGGCTATTGAGTCTGATCCAAAGTTATCCAAAATTGTGTCGGCTTTGGAATCTAGCACGTCCGCACCACCGCATTACTCCCTTGTTCATGGGAATCTTTTCTATAAGGGTCGCTTGGTAATTCCTAGTGGATCCGAGTGGACCACCAAATTAATTTCAGAATTCCATTCCACACCAACAAGGGGTCACTCTGGGGCATTCCGCACTTATAGGCGCTTAGCAGCAAACGTATATTGGCCAGGAATAATGCGCCAAGTGATGGATTTTGTGAGGCGTTGTGACATTTGTCAAAGAAACAAGTACGACACCAAGTCACCTGCAGGCTTGCTACAACCCTTGCCAATTCCAGATCGAGTTTGGGAGGACATTAGCTTGGACTTTAGTTCGGGCCTCCCCCGTTCGGGCAATCTGGACTGTATCCTGGTGGTGGTTGATAGATATTCAAAATATGGTCATTTTTTGGGATTGAGACACCCTTACACCGCCCAATCTGTGGCAAATTTGTTTTGTCGAGAGGTGGTGTGATTGCATGGTATTCCAACGTCAATTGTATCAGATAGAGATCCAGTGTTCCTAAGTTCGTTCTGGCAGGAGTTGTTTAAGTTGGCAGGCACTAAGTTGAAAATGAGTTCGACATATCATCCTGAGACGGACGGACAAACCGAGGTACTAAATCGTTGTCTTGAGATTGTTTTAGTTCTGAAAGGCCACGAGAGTGGAGTATGTGGTTGGCTTGGGTAGAGTACTGCTACAATACGAGTTTTCAATCAAGTGTGGGCGGTACTCCATTTGAGGTAGTTTATGGTCGTGCACCTCCTAGGCTACATCGTTTTATACCTGGAGTAGTGAGGACACAATCATGAGTAGAGGATCTTCGGGACAGGGATGAGGTCTTGCGCCATTTGCGTTTCCACCTAGAACCTGCTCAACAACGCATGATTCGTGAAGCGAATAAACATCGTAGGGACGTGGAGGGACGTGGAGTTTGCAGTAGGGGATAAAGTGTTTGTCAAATTTCGGCCTTTTCGACAGCGGACACTTTTCCGCAGCATGAACACTAAGTTATCGCCTCCATTTTTTGGGCCATTTGAGGTAGAGGCTCGTATTGGAGCAGTTGCTTATCGATTGAAATTGCCAGGTACCACAAGGGTGCATCCAGTCTTTCATGTTTCGCTGTTAAAAGCTTCGGTGGGACTGAATTCCGTTGAGCCTACACTTCCTGATGAATTATTAGGAGATGACCCATTATTTATTCCGGAGAAAGTTCTAGCACAACGAGAGATTGAGCGCAATGGGACAATGGTTCCACAGGTTCTAATAAAATGGGTGGATCACGGGGATGATGAGGTAGTTTGGCTGGACACTGAAGAAGTACGTGGCCAATTCCCTAATTTCAGCCTTAGGACAAGGCTGTTTCCGTCCGGGTAGGAGTTGATAAAGACCAACTTCTGAAAGTTTATTCTAGAAGGCTGAAACGGCCGCGGCTGCTCCTACTGGACCCTAGGGCGTAGGCCCAATTATCCTTATTATTTAGTTAATATAATTAGTTAAGTTAGCGGGCTCTTAAATGGGCTTTAGAGTTTATTTATTAAATATTATATATATTGGTGGCTAAGAGTTAGATGGGTATTCTGGAATATTGACGTTTGTGGCAGGCTATCTTGCCTGAGGACCCTTCGGGGTAGTTCTTTCATTATCTATTGTTATTTTTTGCCCTTCACTCTATCAGAAGGTATCAAACACCAGTCAAGATGAGATTATCTCATGAACCTAAAGCATATTGACAAAAAGTTTTCACAGGCAATGATGACAATAACACCCACCTTTATACAGGATTATATTTTATATTCCTACAACGCATCTCCAGATGGATTCTAGCAAAAACAGTTGACTTTAAGCTATACATACCATTTTTCACTTCTCTCTGCCTCATTTCATCAAAAATTGATTTGGCTTCTGTGAGTTTCCCAGTCTTTCCAAGCCCATCCATCAGTAAACAGTATGGCATCTGCTGAGAACATAGGATGGTGAAATACCAAGTAGAGCTACAAACACGGTGTGAAAGGGCACAAATTATCCCATTTACTCGGTGAGTACTAAAATTTGACCAGCAAGACTCATGCACCAAATGCACAAAGCCAGTTACGAGCATAAGTTAAAGAAAAATTTGCTTAACTATTTTACATTTTTATAAACTAATATAAGTTAGCTCATGAAATTTAAATCGAACTAAAAGGCAAATATAATGAAGTGAAATACTATAGCACATTACATGTATGAATATAAAAATTCAAAAATAATATAAATGTGTGTGTGTGTGTACAACATGTTCATTTACATTGACACTCAGAGTTATACACACAGACAAACACAGAGAGAGAGAGAGAATATAATATTATATATATAGAATGAGAGGGACAGAAATGATGCATCGATACAGTCATCAAACATATTACATATAAAGAACAGAACACACATTCACAATAAATGGTCACCTCATCTTGCGCATAGCCTAGAGTTTGAAGTTCATCCAACAGTTCTCTTGATTTCTCAAACAAGCCACTTTTAACATAAACCTTCAACAGGGTTGTTAAAATAACCTGTAACGA